CAGTTCTGGCTTATGGTGATCCTTTTCTGGGTTTTCTAAGTAGAGGATACTCAAAAGTGGTTTGCCATTTCCTTCTTCTGGGGCACCCTGGAATTGTGCCCAAGGCCACACAAGCTAGCTCTACTTGCAAGAGGCAGAGTGGGGAATTGAACTCCCAGTCTCTGGCTCCATCGTGCTATCCAGTCAGCTGATCTGACAACCGTACTTACAGTAAGATTCAAACAAATAAAAGTAATTAACAGAATATATATAAAAAAATTAAAACACAAATTGTAAAATGCTAGAGAAAAAGAAAATATGAAGAAATCATGAGAACTTGGGAGATGACTTGCCCCAAAGCCTGAAACACTACATGTCCGGAACAGGAGATTTTTGAGTGCACACATTTGAAGATTCTGTTCCCACAGGTGCTTGCTTTGAATGCGGGGGGGGGGGGCTGAGGAGGAGCCACCTTTCCCACATCACACCCATCACTACAAATGCCTTCCCACTCTGCAGACAGTGTTCCTTTTATTGTATAGACATTCTCTGATCTGCGAGGGGACTCTTCCCATTTTGCCTTGATGCTCAGAGCCACCATTGCAAAAAAAATTTTAAAAAAAAGGAGACAAACATCACCACCTCCAGCTGTTTCTCTTAGAGTGGCAGGCTTTGTTGGACAAAAGTGCTTCAAGCTTCTTCTTTTCTTCTTCTTTCTTAAGTCCTCTGGTGCTCCCAAATTCTAGAATGACCAATCTAAAGCCCTAAAGGCCATGTGAATTTATTTGCACAGATCCCTGGATCCCAGCCACTAGTACATTAAGACTTTGGCCATCATTGATGTTTCCTCGAATTTATTATTTGCTTCTTCCCGGAAGGCATTTCTCTTTGTTTAACCAAGCTCTGGAAACTCCCGTACTTAACCTTCAATATAATCAAAGGGTTTTACTGCATGCTGTGCTAAGAGATTCTTCTGAAACTAGCAGGATTTCCCAGGTTCACATGGGTTAGAAATGTACAAATCCCCCACCCCACAGTGTTCCTTTTGCCTCTTTATCTACCCCCACATCCCTGTATTTTCTCTCCCTTTACTTATAGATGTGTTCTTTCTTTTCTGTCCCTCACTGCCTACCCAAATTACATTTTGCTCCTTTGACCCTACTGCCTTTTCTCTTTCTCTCTGTATTCCCATCCTTCATTTGTTCCTTTCATACTGGCCTTCTTCTCCCTCTGCCACTATACTCATTCAGTCTTTCCTTTTGTTCACTTCCCTCCCTCCATACCAGGTAGCAGGACACCTACCTTGGGTACCCCAGGTGTTCTTCTACTGCAACTCATAGAAACCCTGGTCAGCACAGCTGATGGTGAAGGTTTCTGGGAATTGCAGTCCAAAAAAGGTTAGGAACCACTGTTCTCTGAGGGGTGGGGCTCCAAACGAGCCTACTGGTTCAGACATGAGAGCCAGAGTCCAGGTTCCTTCTGTAAGTCACCTTTACTGAACTAGATAACAAAGCAACTACAAACTGTTCCAACTATACAAACTCATAGATAATGTGTTCCTGTTAGTCCTCTCTGGGGCATCCTTTAGTCCAAAAAAGGGGAGTGCTTCATCCTCCTCTTGCAAGCTTCTGAAGCTGAGAATTGCCCTCTGCTTTTACAGGAAGATATATGCTGGATAGCTGAGATCTCAGCTTCCAACTACCAGAGACAATTAAATCATCTCTGCCTCATTTAAGATCTCAGCTGAAAGAGCAGAAGTGTCATAAGGGTTGGCTGCTGGTGTCTCCTCTGTGCAATAATATCTATTGGCCAACTAAAGTGTCATGCTTCCATTTGAAAGGCTGATACTATGGCTGATTTGAAAGATCTAATAACAGGGGACAGAAACCTGGAAATAAACAATGCTATGTATATGTTATGTTGCCTCTCCTTGAATCTCAATGTACTGAACATTTCTATCCTGGTAGAGTTATGTTTTCTGATCCTTGCTAGATGCATAACCTTGTTATCTTTCAACCTTTAAGCTGGCACCTGTTGTGCTGACATTTACCATCCTATCTAAGCTGTTGATATCTTGTGCTGATCTGCAATACTGTCTGATACACCATATATGTGACATGTTTTAGTAATGGCCAGTATTGATGGCATTGCTATGACATGCTTCTCTTGGTGATAAGATCAAATAGATGATTTTTTTTGTTTGTCAGCTAAATCAGTGGTTCTTAACCTTTTTGAAAGAAACGCCCCCTTGGGCCATTGATGAAGTTATCATTGCCCCCCTCCCCACGGCGATATTTATTTATTTATTTATTCAAGAAAGACACTTAAATCCAATGACTCCTGAAAATAAAATTCAGCAGCCAGCCAGCCACAAGAGGACAACAAGAAAAGCCGGAAAAGCTGCCGAATTCCCACCCACCCAGGATGGACCCGAGCCAGCCCTGTCCCTAGAAACCCTGCCACGCCACCCCAAACCGACCCGTTTCTCTCCACGCTTCCCTTGCAATGGGTGGGAAGATGGGTGGGAAGGCAGGACGGAAAAACGGGGCTCATCTCTTCCTTCCCACCCGGGTGCTACCCTTTCCTTCCACCAAATCCACACTCAGTGCTCCCCTAAGGGAGAAAGGCGAGATGTGGCAGGCAGAAAGAGCTGGATTGTCTGGTGGCAGTGGCACTGGATCCACTGCCAGCACCATGGCTGCAGCCGCCTTCACAGGTTTGGCTTGCTCCAGCACCCCCCTACCACCCCCCTTTTGTTCCGCCGCCCCATGCCGCCCCTTTTCATTCTACCACCCCCCTGAAAAATGAAATCGCCCCCTGGGGGGCATTATTGCCCACGTTAAGAACCACTGAGCTAAATCTTGCCAAACTACCTTATCACCTAAATCTTGTTGAGCCGACTCCTGCTACCTCTGACCTCAGAATTTCTTCTGAAGCCTCCTAACACAAATGTCGCCAAACTGATTGAGAGGACAGAAGACATCCCCATTCCAGTGCTATCCATCCTTCTGGAAAAAAAGGGGAGAAGACTTCAGAGGGAAAGGGTGAGGGAAAGCTCTAGGAAAGGAATGGAGGAAACACCCACAAGGGTGGAGAAGTGGAGAGAGGGAAGGTCCTCAAGGGAAGAGGAAGTCTTGAGAGAAGTGGCTAGACAGAAAAAGCAAGAAGAGAAAGACTAGGAAATGGTCAGGGAAAGGAGGTGGAAAATAAGAGGAAGGAGATACGAAATGAGGAACCTGCAGGAAGCGGATAGAAGCAGGAGAAGCAGATAGAGAAAAGAGAGAACACTTCGCCTTGGTTGGGAGTGGATCTGGCTAGAAAATCCTTGGACCAACTGGTGGGAGAGATTCATGGTACCCTGAGAGGAAGCTGAAAGAAGAAAGAGGGGGATGACAGTAAAGAAGCCCTCTTAATGGGGAGAGAAAGAGGCTGGAGAGTGGGGGAGAAGATTCAAGAAGAGAGCAAGCAAAGAAGGAGAGGACAAGATGGATTTATACCCCTGGGGTCAAAAGATACAAGACCCAGTACCTTGGGAGACCTTCAAACTGGGAGAGGGATCGCCAAGAGATGAACTGCAAACCTGAGGAGAAATGTCCATGTAGCCAACACCACACCAGCCATTGCTAGCCAGGTTAAACTTTATGGATGTCTCGAATGTTGGTAAGGAGAGATTGGAAACCCATTTACAGTTCAAGATAAGAACCCCTTTGGTAGCCCATTCGGCATAGATGAGTTAGCATTGAAGTTAATTAAAGTGAATAGTTTTCTAGATGTTCCTGAAATTCAAGTCGAAAGCATGAAAGCAGAACTTGAGTCAGTCTACTATATCTGAGAAGAAAGAGATTGGAAAGGTCTGAAAAGGCCCAAGACAAACCCTCACACCTATGTCTACTTCAAGGTAGCTGGCTGATAAGTGGTTAAGATCTTTGACAAGAAGCCAAACAAAGCCAGCTGGAAACATTTACCTCAGAACTCTAGGTTTCCTGTTCTTGAGGAGAGAAACCTAATTTAATGATCCTCTTACTTTTGAAGAGCTCCCTCGCTCCTAGTGACTGGATATGGCACTGCAGACATACAGTGGTGCCCCGCATAGTGACATTAATCCATTCCGGATTAATCGTCGCTATGCAGAAACATCGCTAAACAGATCGAAAAACCCCATAGGAACGCTTTAAACTTAGTTTAATGCATTCCTATGGGGCCCTAAACTCACTGTTCAGCGATGTTCCTCCATAGCACTGCCATCTTCACGTCCTCGGTAAGCGAGGGCAGGTTGCGAAAACACCTGTGGCAGCCATTTTGGGTGTCCGGCAGGCATTTTGGAACCACCGATCAGCTGCTGTAAAAACATTGCAATGCGAGTTTTTCCCTATCTAAACATCGCAATGCGATCACTTTTGCGATCACAATTGAGACATCGCTATGCGGATTCGTCATTAAGCGGTGCGCTCGTTAAGCGAGGCACCATTGTATTTACATTAGCTATTATGAATCAAAGATGCAGTTTAATAATCAAAAAGTCCCAAGACACCCCCTCAGGCCCCCATGGTGTACACACCAAGTTACCTGTGCCTAGGTTTTACAGTTTTGGAGTCATGGCAGAGAAGACACACTGGTACAGATAATTTTATTGTTATAGAGAAACCTATCCCAAGGCAATGTCAAAAAAGAGTGTTTTATCAAACCACAATGAGTAAAATAAGCTAAAAGCCACCCACCCCCAAATTTCTTTATGTAATGGTCAGTGGCTGAAATCCGGTAGCAAGTCCCAACTAGAGTAGAATGGAGATTTAGTGGGTCAACACCTATCTGAATTCCATTGATTCAATGGGCCTACTCTAGCTGTAGCTGATTACCGGATTTAGCCAAGGAATTTATAACTACCTCTATTAAAAGTGAGTGGGGGAAGAGAAATAAAAAAGGCTTTATTTGGTATAAAAGAGGAATGCCAAGTCTTTCTGGATAGTGTTCCAAATCTGTTGCGTCATATTTTGTTCTCTCAAACTGTTTGATAACGTATATTTACTCTGCTTGAACAGTTAATAATGAAACAGAGCATTTTACAAATTTGGTACATAAATACTAAGGAAGGAGTAGCATTCAGATCTTCGGAAGATTCTGTAAGTATTATCTACTTTTTTCCCTACCTTGTTCTTGTGATTTAAATATGATGAACTATTACAATGGGACAGAGTATCTCCAAGATCTCTAGTCCTTAGGATTATCTTCCATTCTCAGTAGAACAGTTTCCAGTACCAACCTGGAAGTCTGGATGTTCTACACAAGATGTTCCATGCATCTCGGAAGAACGCAGTGTCAACACTGGTCAATATACTTATGTGGTCAGAGTAGACAATGCTTCTTTTCTGCTGTGTAAAAGTAAAGAGGAATAGGGTAGGCAAATCTACTCTGGGTGCAAAGTATTGCTCTGGAGGGATGGAAAGCATGTATTTTCAGGTGTCTTGTATAGAAAAAAGAACATGGTGTGTTTAATAATTTTAATGAACAACTGAAAACAAATATAAGAGCTGAAGATCTCATTATTGTAATGACATAAGAATAGCTGTTCTTTTATTTCCCATTTAAGGGGTCAAATCCTGTTCACACCAGCAAAGTTACACTGGTGCCAAGGACACATGGCATGACTTACTGTGCAATTTCACAGCACAAGTTCTTGTGCTGGGCATTACATCCAGTAACAAGGACTTGTGCTGTGCAATTGCACAATCGGTCATGTCATGTGTCCTTGGCAAAGCTAATTGTGAAATGTACCAGCGGAAGTACTTTAGGTATTGCACTTCCACCTCCACCCAATTACTGTGGGTGCAACAGGAATTTGGCCGAAATATTATTAATATAGATTTCATTTATGATAATTTTGTAGCTAATTATTGTAATATTGTACCATCAACTTTTATCTTATATTTTTTAACACAGTCTGTTCGCTCAGTTTGGGAGAACCTGCTCCTTTTTCATTGAAATAAGTAGATATCTCAAACAGATAAAATGAGGTTTCAAAATTAATATTGAATATTAATAGTAATAATCTTTCTGGCCACAATTCATTGGGGTTTTACTCTGGAGGAGGTAAAAATGCATAAGTCATGGTGGTAACTGTAGAGTGAATTAACAAGCTGCTGGTTGTGTGCCTTGTTGCATGACTCACATGTGGTTAGATATATGCCTAGGCACACAAACGGCACCTTGTTGGTTAGCTGCAATTCACCACTGCAACCTAAGCTTTGGCCAATATCCTACTGCTAGTCTCAGGCAGTATAGACCGATGGCCTCAGTGAAAGTTACATAGGTGTTGATTTCGTCGTCGTTTAGTCGTTTTGTCGTGTCCGACTCTTCGTGACTCCATGGACCAGAGCACACCAGGCCCTCCTGTCTTCCACTGCCTCCCGGAGTTGTGTCAAATTCATTCTGGTAGCTTCGATGACATTGTCCAACCATCTCATCCTCTGTCGCCCCCTTCTCCTCTTGCCTTCACACTTTCCTAACATCAAGGTCTTTTCCAAGGAGTCCTCTCTTCTCATGAGATGGCCAAAGTATTGGAGCCTCAGCTTCAGGATCTGTCCTTCCAACTCAGGGTTGATTTCCTTTAGAATTGATAGGTTTGTTCTCCTTGCAGTCCAGGGGACTCTCAGGAGCCTCCCCCAGCACCACAATTCAAAGCATCAATTCTTCAGTGGTCAGCTTTCTTTATGATCCAGCTCTCACTTTCATACATCATTACAGGGAAGTGTTGATTTGCCATTGGGTAAATCATTGGTTGATTTACCATCGGGACTAGCAGTGGGATATAAGAGATTTCACTTATTCTGGACTAAAATATCAAATAGGATTTTGGCTGCTTTTTGAAAGATGAATCTGATAACTGTTTTAAAAAATTAAATGAAAACTGAATTTTGTAAATACACTACAGAAGCATGCTAATCGGTTGAAGAAAAATGCCAACAGCATACATTTCAGCAGTGAATTCTTGCTACAGTAGTTCAGAAGTCAGTATATGCATTGGTTGTTGTGAGCCAAGTAACAGGACTGCTGCATGATATCAAATGGCTATAGTGACTTCTTAAATAGTGGCAGATTGTTGCTGAGATTTACATCAGTGAACTAGGAGCGCAAGTGTGAGTAACCAGATTCTGGGCATAGACCTTCAAACAGGTGTTTGATATATAGAAAGACTGAATGCCTACTTTAAAACCCCCATGAAGGATAATAGTAATATATTTGCGAAGGCTTTCACGGCCGGGATCTCATAGTTGTTTTGGGTTTTTTGGGCTCTTTGGCCATTTTCTGAAGGTTGTTCTTCCTAACGTTTCGCCAGTCTCTGTGGCCGGCATCTTCAGAGGACAGCAACCTGTCCTCTGAAGATGCCGACCACAGTCACTGGCGAAACATCAGGAAGAACAACCTTCAGAACACGGCCAAAGAGCCCAAAAAAACCAGAACAACCATAATAGTAATACTTTTTGATGTTGTTGTTGTTGTTGTTAATGCATATCTAAATTTCATGCTGAAATTAAAGTCTAAATTCCTATTGGGGTTCTTGGAGAGAAGTGTGAATTATGTTTCTCCACCATTTCCATGTTGTCTAGATCTAGTATAGAGGTATGCATTGGTGTGCATGGTGAATAACTGGGTTTTGACTGATAAATTGGATGTGTGCCAGGACGGTCTGTCAAACTAGTTTGGAAGGGTGGGATTTTAGTTTTGAGGCTACTAGAGTGAAGTCAGAGTTTGTGAGGTAATTAAGAAGTTGTGAGGTAATTAAGAACTGTACTGTGCTTTTTAAAAAGTATCTTTGTTTTTTCAATGGTACTTGGAAAAATGTGTAAAACAATCATCTATATAGACATATATAAACAACTAAATGTGCTTCATCTATAAGGAAAGAGAGAAGTAAAGTAAATGAGATTTCCACTGTAGGATAAGAATGTAACATCATGTAAATATGAACCACCTCCTTCTTCTTAAGTTCTTCAAAAAATAAACTTCTTTTTTGTTTCCAAACAATGTTCTTTGACTGCAACTCCCAGAAATCCTGACTAGCACAGCTGGTGGTGAAAACTCCTGGGAAATGAAGTCCAAGAACACACAGATTTCCCAAGGTTGTGAACCACTGTTCTAGGGGAAGAAGCCCCTGTTACAAGTTAAAGAGCAACCCCAAAACTAGTAAAAGGATTTGTGGGGAATTGTTTGGTGTCAGGCCACACCAGGTAGAGGAAGGTGGGGTGAGCACCACAGTTTCTTTATTCAAAATGTGAATATATGTTACACAGTTCTATAGATCTAGAGTACAATCTACCATCCTTGCACAAGTACCACTAATTTCTCATGGATTACACTCTTGAGCAAAACTAGTTCCTTAAAGGAGACTGGGCAGAAAAGGTTAATAATGCATTGATCCCTTATTATCTTCTACAGGACCTCATCTTTACACAATCAATATAAATCCCAATGAAGTCCATCATTTACCTCTTACTCTGTTGTGTTCAAATCAACTGCTATCCTCTCTCAGGAGACCAAAACAATCAGGATGATAACAGAGAAGACAGTGATTTGAAACGTAAACATCCCTTTTTGGACAAAGAAGACAAGAAGCCAACAGACTATGATAAGATTACTTCCATCAATGTTGACTTTGCATTCAGATTCTACAACCAAATCATTTCAGGCACAGCTGATAAAAATGTTTTCCTCTCTCCTTTGGGCATCTCCACAGCATTTGCCATGCTAGCCCTGGGTGCAAAATCTGAAACACAGGTTCAGCTTTTGAAAGGACTCGGCGTCAACCTGTCAGAGATTAAGGAGGAGGAGATACATGAAGGATTTCATTATCTCCTCCACAACCGACCATATGCCAAATCAGAGGTGACCATGTGGACTGAACCAGAGGTGAACATTGGAAATGCCTTGTTTGTTGAAGAGAATTTAAAACCACTGCCAGAGTTTTCCAAGGGTATCAAAGCCTTGTATGAAGCTGAAAGTTTTTCCTGCAACTTCAGTAATTACATAGAAGCTGAAGAACAGATAAATGATTATATAATGAACAAAACTGGGGGGAAAATACCTCACTCAGTTGATAGACTTGATCAAACTACAGTAATGGTTCTTGTGAACTATATCACCTTCAAAGGTGTGTTGAAGTAAGTATCTACTTATTAGATAAATAGGCCAGTAGAAAGTATTTTGTCATCTGTATACATAGCAAAGTGTACTGCTTATATACCAAGCCATAGCGCTTAATAAATGCTATAGGCAGAATACAATTTAATTATGCAGGCTACATATTGCTGCCCCTCCCTGCCCCCCACAACATGCTGGGTACTCAATGTACCAACCTTGAAAGGATGAAATTCAGCAAGAGTGAGCAGAGTCTTGACAGCAGTACTACAGTTTAGCCATTGCACCACAAGACTCATTTGCAAATTCTTCAGAATTATGAAATTGTCTCAACATAATTCTAGGATTATCTTTAAAAATGCAAGGGAAATATTAAGGCACCATTTTCAAAATAGAAATACATAACAAGTCATTGCATTTTTAGTGTAAATCACTGTAAATTGCATTTCCTATAATTGTGGCTCAAAGATTTGATTTAATGTTCTGGGCTTCTAGTGATAGCATGCTTTTTGATGCATTGACCTCATTGTGCAAACATTGCTACATGATTACGGAATGTCTTGAACTTTTTATTTTAGGAGCCAGCTCTGAATTAGACTGACTATGAGATGGCAGAAAAAAATAGAGAAATACATAGTTCAGTATATCAAACCCTAGGACTGAGTCTTTCATGAGGTCCATCTGGACCGCTAGGCCTTCTCAGCCATGCCTGCCCCCCATTACACATTGTTTACTGTATTCTTAGCTTTTGTGCAGAGGTTTGCCCATTCTTAATCAAAGACCTGTGAGAATGCTTAGCTTCCACCGTCAATGAGAGCATGAGGTTTGTAGTCACTACTCATACTACATTTTTGCTTGTTAAATCACTTTAACCACTAGTGCTTTTCCCATGTTGTTTTCTGATGATGGTGGTTTCAACAGTTCATTTAATGTTCAGATTTTTTTATCAGACAAATTCCAGGCAGCTTGCCATTAACAGTCACACATCATTAAATGAGTGAGTAAGATACACAGATTTGATTGTTTGAGAATACACATTCACAATACTGTCATATCTAACCCTTGTTTCTGCAGCTGACTGGAAACTGGCATTCGACACAGCTTCAATCACAGAAGAAGACTTTTTCGTAGATGCCAACAGAACAGTGAAAGTCAACCTTATGTCTCAAGAAGGCTACTATAAATACCTCCGTGATGATGTTTTGTCTTCCTGGGTGGTCGAAATTGATTTCAGAGGAGATGGCATCGCTGAAACGTACCGAGATGACATAACCGCATTATTCATTCTACCAGATGAAGGGAAAATGAAATATTTGGAAGGTGCTTTGCTAAAAGAAAGTATCTCTAAATGGGTAACATTTTTCAGAACATCTGCATACGAGTAAGTGTTCTTTGTTTTGTTTTAAAAGCTGCTACTGCAGGATTATTTTTTAATGTAGTATAGTGTAGTGTTGTATAATACAATATGAAATCAAACTAATTTTATTTAAAATGCATTTATGTGATTCTTGTTCATTATGGTCTCAGAAGAAAAGAGCAAAATGAACCGCTGTAAATAACACCCACCTCAATTTCTGCACATGCTAGTAGTTATGACCTCTGGCAGAACACAATGGTGGTTTGGATATAGGTAAGAAAAATATGTCACCATGGCTTTATTCAGTTGTTACCTGCCCAATTCTTAACCAACATGCCAGAGAGGAGCAACTAATTCCTCTCCTCTCCATCACTACTTTCTCCACATAGAGAACAACATGTCTAGAAAGGAGAAACTCCTGCATAGTACGTGTTTAGACTGTACTCACAAACAAGAATCCTTCAAAATATTAACTCGCTGCTTACATGTAGAACCTAACAAGTGACTAGGATTTCTCCTCTTTGAAAATATTGCAGTCTATGTGGAAAGCGTGATAATGAGAGGAAGACCTACACTTTGATAACAACCAAGGCGGTAATGACTGAATACTGCTAAGATCACAAAACTCCATCTGATATTTTGGCCAGAAAGATTATGACTTCAGGGCCAGCAGCTGCACATTCTGACATCAACCTGCCTGCAGAGGAATAGAATCCTGCTGTTCAGTTCAAAATGGTTCCTTAATTTTTAAACAGGAAGTTCAGAGGAAGCCCCTCTTCCAAAATCAGAGTTACTAGACCATCACACCACATTATAAACCTTAATGACCTTTCTGGTGAATCCTGTGCTGGAGTTATATATTCTGTGTAGGAAGTGGAACTATCTTGTGCTTCCTGGTGTTTCTTCTGCCCTTTCCAGGTGAATCCTGATAGGAAAGATGCCATTCTGTGCAGGATGTTAATAAATCTGTGCAATTTATTATTTCTTCTGCCTTTTCGAGTTCCTTTGGAGGAAAGATATTACTCTGTGCAGGTATCTCAATAAACCTGCACAGATTGTTTCCATTAAAAAATGACCTCAAGAGTAAATGAAATTTACAAAAAATGTTCCAAGATTTTATCAAGATTTCTTAGGGGGGGAAATCATGTACAGAAAAATCTTGTTATATGTCAAAAGCAGTGGTTTCCCACCCCCCACCGCCAAATTTCTCTCATGGAGAGCCTGTGTGGACAATGAAGGCTTGTCTCTTCAGACTCATTGCTATCCATGTGTAGGAAAGTGATGACAGTGGAAACACATGGGGCAGGGCTAGAGTACTCCCCTCTAACCATGGCAGGTATGCCTGAATTGCTAATGATTGTATAGAACTAGAGGAGAGGGTGGGCAAGAGCATTATGTGAACAAAGACACCACTCAGAGCAGATGTGATTGGAGAGTATTAATGTATAAATTCCTCCTTTTAACTGTGTGCATGTCAGGTCAAATTACACATTAAAGGAAATGTGTATTTTTCTATTGCAGCAACATTCTCCTTACAGGCAAATAGTTACTTTCAAGCAGAATTGCACTCTTTTCAAGCATTTTAAGGAGCCCTACATCTAATCACATGTTAATGGTATTATGCAGCATTGACCTCAGGAGTCATATAATGATATTATTCAGTCTTCACAACATAATATTTGTGTTGTTGTTTATTGTTCCTTCTTCCACAAAATTATTTTCCACCAATCATTTAATATCTTCGATGTTCTTTGGCTTGTGCTAAACAGAGACCTACATCTATCCATTCCAAAATTTACCATTTCCTCTTCCTACGATCTTAAAGACATAATGGAGAAGCTAGGTGTCACTGACATCTTTAATAACGATGCAGATCTCTCTGGAATTAACGGAGAACGAAATCTGAAGGTTTCCAAAGTAAGTACAGGACTGGGGATGAGGACTACGTGGGGATTTTCCTTTACTCAAATATGTCACTCAGTTTCATCGAGGATCACCAGACGCTTTATTTCTGGAGGGTTGAGCAATATATAGCAAACAAGCTGTGTGTGTCCATAACTGTTATCACAACTCGTGCAACCTCAGCCGTTCAATAGCATGCAGATGAACTTCAGGAACACAACAGCACATTGATTATAAAAAGTGCATTTTCATGCCAAAAAGGTTGCCCGTAAAATGAAATGCATTCTCATTGGAGAAAAAACACAGCTACAGCCAGTAGCCTGATCACTGAGACCTGTCTAGGTGTAACTGATATACAAGTGGTGCCCCGTATAGCGAGGTTAATCCGTTCCGGATTAACCTTCGCTATACAAAAACATCGCTGTGCGGGTAAGTAAAACCTATTGGAACGCATTAAACTTAGTTTAATGCGTTCCAATAAGTGTGCAAACTTACCCCTCCAGCGATGTTTTCTCCTTGGAGAAAATCACAGCCGCAGCCAGTAGCCTGATCACTGAGGCCTGTCTAGGTGTAACTGATGTATAGGGCACTACATCACCCAGGAAAGACAAGACTGTTCTATGAAACTAAGTTTTTTTCATACACAAAATTTCCCCATCTCTGCAACACACTAATGTTCAACATTCAAGCAATACCACAAAGAGTCTTCTCAAGACATTTTTGAACCCCCACTGCCATTCCAGAGCACTCTAGTAAAAAAGAAAAGTCCCTCATCATTTTTATTTTATTTTATTTTAGGCTGAAAGGCCAAGATTCACTCCTGAAGGCCTATAGGAACAGAAGGGTTCAGCCTTGAGGTCTTGTATTGGATCCCCAAAGTCTACCCCCCACACATCTGGAACAGAAACCAGAAGTTGCCATTTTCTTGTTTATTTTTCTTTTTAAAAAATAAAATGTTTTCTGTCATTTTTGGTCTTGGTGTGGCCTATTGTGATATCTGGAGGACAAGATGTTCACCCCAAAGCCCCTTCAGATCTCAAACCTCTGGTCTTGGTACTCTGAAAACTGTTGAGCATGAGTTTAGGCAATGATTTATCTAAGGAGAACTGTGTTCCTCTTTCATCTGTGCAATATTAAAGGTTAGAACATGTAAACCATACAGAGTTGTTCTTTCCCCACAGATTGTTCACAAGGCTGTGCTGGACATCCGGGAAAGTGGTACTGAGGAAGAAAAGGTCACTACTTTATGGAGCTGGCCAGTATTTCATCCGGTTTCATCTACACCTATCATCAAGTTCAACAAGCCCTATATGATGGTCATTCTAGATAAGAGAATAAATATTATCTTTCTAGCAAAAATGGTAGATCCAACTGAAGGAGGGACCTAGCTGATGAATGTCGAAGCCACAGAAGATCAAGCTGAAGGATGTGTATTTTGCAGGAGGCATCCAATTACAGAATTTCCTCACAGCTGCAAAATCTTACTGCTCCATATGCTTGTCTCAAAACAAGCTTTGTTTTTGTACCCTGTAATCTGTTGACCTAAGGGTTAAAAAAATCTGCAAAATAATTATACAATTAAAAATATTTTAAAAGAAGAAATCTTGCTGCTTAATCTAATTCTTTTTGAAATCTGTGATATGTTCCTTCTCTACAAAACTGAACAAGCTGCAGCAAAGCAGAGGCCAGTTTGAGCCTCAGACCTCCCTAATAGTCTGTCTGCACTCCTTAAAAGGAGACCAGAAGTGGGCACACATCCACTTCCAGTTTCATAAAATCCTTGGAATGGAGGTAGACCAAGGGATACGAGGCTGTTCTTTATTTTAAAAGAGAATTACCACTCCTGGAGGCTTCCAGAAAAGGCCACACTTCTCTTTTTTGATTTTTTTCCCCCCTCACTGAGGGTTATCAGAAAAGGCTAGGAAAGTTCCAGTGTTACAAAAGCTGAGAGACTGAATGACAACATGTAGTCCATATGATTCCTCTCCTGGAGTTTGTTGTGGGTTTTTTTTAAACTGCTTCAAACAATTTAGTCCCTTGTCACTTTGCATATCTTCATTCAATTGTGTTTGCACACTAAAGCATATTTTCATTTCAGAAATGTTTAGACATGGCTTTGGGTGTTCACTAAGAAAAGAAGTAAATGCCTCACACTTGTATACACCTCCTTCTAGTTCCTCAAGTGATATTGTCATGGTACATAAACCCAAATTATAAGCGCTCTGTACTTCTGTGGAAGAAAGGATGACCCCTTTCCTTGACCAAATAGAAACTCCCTAGTCAAAAAGCCCCTCATCCCATGGAGGTCAAGTCCCTATCAGAGGAGAGCCCATTCTACCACATACTGAGTACGGCTTACACTTTGTCAGAAGTCCATCAATGAGGTCAGGAAGTTCTCTTTTTGATTCAATTTTGTACAGAAAACACAAGATTTTTTTAAGGCCTTTGGCAGGTGTCTCAAACTCAATTTTTCTGGGGGCCGCTAGAGGCAGAGTCTGGGTGAGGCTGGGCCGCATCAGATTTTCTGCCAAGTGGAGCAAGAGCCTGAGGAAGCTGCCCAGGAGTTTCCTTAGCCCGGCTGGGGCTCCAAGGAGGAGGAGGAGGGGTGCGCGAGCTGTCTTGGGAGAGAGCCAGCCAGCGAGGCAAGGCTTTCTTTTTACTCTTGACAGCAGAGGCCGCGTGGGCGCTTCGTGTTGGATGTGTTGGATGGTCAACCAATCTAACTGTAAATTTCAAAGGGGAAGACCATCCAGTGCAGAGACTAACTTGCTAGTATATAGTTTTTAATACTAACCAATCAGAGGGAAGCTTTAACTGTTACTGGTCTGTAACTGCCTCTGTAACTGCCTCTTCTCTCTCTGAGGTGATTAAACCTCAAACAGACAATCACTTGTTCTCTCTCAGATCTGTACACATTAGGCTACTGTTTCATATCTTCAAAATGTTTATTATGTAACAAACTGAAACCTTTAAGAATGATAACCTCATGTGAGTAAAATAGAATTCTTTATTTAATGATAAAAAGACCTCCTGAGTATTTTGTTTATGTGCTAGTGTTTTGTGACGGGAGATTACCAAAAAGGGGAACTTCCAGTTAATTCTGCCTAACCGGCTGGCACTTCTTGCTGCGCATTTTTGGGCAATTCACACGAGTACCACACAACTCTCAACACTTCGGGGGGGCAGGCAAGGCGGAGGCCACAAACTACCATCTGGCGGGCTGCAAATGCCCCTGGGCCGCATGTTTGAGACCCCTGGCCTTTGGTGTCTCCCACTGAAGTATGAACGTCGGTTTTCATTTTTGAAAATTACCATTCCAATTTTCAATTGTGAGGCAACAAAATCATTAGAGTAGTTAACTTTAGGTAGACTGTTTAACAACCAAGGAGGAACATTGACTTCTCCAAGCAATTCCATGGAAATCAGAGAGCATTTTCTGTCCAGTAACAATTATTACTATTTTATGTATCATCAAGTCAATTGCAACTCATTTATTTTATATATTTGTATTATTTAAATGTTGCCTTTCTTGCCATAGGGGATCAAAGGCAGTTGACAACAATTATGACTATGCAATGGTCAAGAGTTTTAAAATATATAAACTGTATTTTAAAAACGCTGAAATATTTATCATTAAAAAAGCCAAGATAAAAACATTTAGGGGGCAGGCAAGGCGGAGGCCACAAACTACCATCTGGCGGGCTGCAAATGCCCCTGGGCCGCATGTTTGAGACCCCTGGCCTTTGGTGTCTCCCACTGAAGTATGAACGTCGGTTTTCATTTTTGAAAATTACCATTCCAATTTTCAATTGTGAGGCAACAAAATCATTAGAGTAGTTAACTTTAGGTAGACTGTTTAACAACCAAGGAGGAACATTGACTTCTCCAAGCAATTCCATGGAAATCAGAGAGCATTTTCTGTCCAGTAACAATTATTACTATTTTATGTATCATCAAGTCAATTGCAACTTATTTATTTTATATATTTGTATTATTTAAATGTTGCCTTTCTTGCCATAGGGGATCAAAGGCAGTTGACAACAATTATGACTATGCAATGGTCAAGAGTTTTAAAATATATAAACTGTATTTTAAAAACGCTGAAATATTTATCATTAAAAAAGCCAAGATAAAAACATTTAAAAAATATTTTTAAAGTATCTAAATTCAATAAATACAGTATTCCTGAGACCTTTAGTTATTGCTTAAAAGCCGGCCTTAATGTCTTTGCCTGATAATAGAAAAGGCCAACCTGCTTCTTAATACAGGGCAATTCCAAAGCCTGGGATCAACCACTGAGAAGGATCATCAAGTCAATTGCAACTTATTTATTTTATATATTTGTATTATTTAAATGTTGCCTTTCTTGCCATAGGGGATCAAAGGCAGTTGACAACAATTATGACAATGCAATGGTCAAGAGTTTTAAAATATGATATAAACTGTATTTTAAACACGCTGAAATATTTATCATTTAAAAAGCCAAGATAAAAACATTTTCTTTCTCATGTCCTCACCAAGCAAGCTTGGAAAGGTGATAGAACCGTACAAAGGCCCTTCACAGAGGCTCCCTCTTAAAAGCCAGGGAGGCTCGTGTGGAGTGATATGATCCTTCAAATACCCTGGACCCAAGGGCTTCATAGGAAATAATCATCACTTTGAATTGGGCCCAATAAGATAAAAACATTTTAAAAATATTTTTAAAGTATCTAAATTCAATAAATACATTATTCCTGAGACCTTTAGTTATTGCTTAAACGCTGGCCTTAATGTCACTTGTTCCAGCTCCTGCCAACCTAGCAGTTAGAAAGCATGCAAATGCGAGTAGATAAATAGGGACCACTTCGGTGGGAAGGTAACAGTGTTCCGTGTCGAAGTCGCACTGGCCATGTGACCACGGAAGATTGTCTTCGGACAAAAAAAATGCTGGCTCTATGGCTTGGAAACGAGGATGAGCACTGCCCCTTAGAGTCGAACACGACTGGACAAAAATTGTCAAGGGGAACCTTTAACTTTTGAATTGGGCCCAGAAACAGACTGGCAGCCAGTGAAGCTGTTGTAATAATATGCTCCTTGTAAGCAGTCAGAAGTCTGGCTGCACCATTTTGAACCAGCGGCAGTTCCTTAACACTCTTCAATGACAGCCTCACATAAAGACTGCTGCAGTAATCCAAATGAGCTGTAATTAAGGCATATGTCACTGTGGGTAGATTGGACATATCAAGGAACAAGCACAGCTGGTATACTAGGTTTAACTATGCAAATACACTCATGCCCACTACTGAGACTCTAGCCGCCTAGAGTGGTCTTACAGGCCAGATGGGTGGGGTATAAGTCAAATCAAATCAATCAATCAATCAATCAATCAATCAATCAATCAATCAATCAATCAATCAATCAATCATCAATCAATCAATCAATCAATAAATGGGGCCTGTGTGCTCAGGTGTCAGGACTGAATCCAGGAACATACCCAAGCTGTGAACCTGACTGTTTTGGGGGGAAGTGTAACCCCATCCAAGCTGCTGAGTGCTAACATCTGCTTTTATTCTTTTCTATTCAACTTAAAAAATAATAATAAGCTTGGTAAACATCCACAATTTTAATGCAATTTATTTTGTTAGTTCCATTCTGAAGTATATTTCCCATGCAAGCACTGCACAGCAGGGTTGTTGCTGTTTTCCTGGTTTGTTTCCCTCTGCTTTTTGTTTTCAAAGAATTAAAAGCCTGTCTGGATTGCTATTTGGATCATTTTTGTTGCTGTTTGGTTTGAATCAAATTATGGTGTCTACACATGTTAGAGTGCTCTATCCTGCCCCTTTTTAGAGTTCCTTTCTGGCACAGTACTAGGGCTTTTGTTTCTGACACAATTTGGAATGCTCCTAATTATCCCTGTCATTATAGATCTGTAGGCAGTGTTATCTGAGGTGATAACTCTGTGATGTATTTGGTGGGTTGTGACACTGAAAGAGATTATGGGAACCCCCCTCCTGTATTTTCATCTACTTTACCATTTAATTTAAAAAGCATATTTTCCTATTGATGCAGCAGTACCTTTACCTTTTTATTCTAGATCAGTGATGGCAAAACGTTTTGAGCCCGAGTACCCAAACGGCAACTAAAACTAAATTATTTATTTCGAAGTGCCAACACTGCAATTAAATCTGAATACTGTGGTTTTACTTTAGAAAAAACAACTCATACAGTTGTCTAAACTAATCAACACCTTTTGTCTTAAAGGAAAAACACCATAACAGAACTTTCAATGATAAAACACTTTTTTTATTGAAAAATAACCATTAACTCCAGTAAATGGAAAAAATATTAAAGTAATACATTGTACACATAGCCTGAAGCCAAGTAATTTAAACAAACTTTAAAAATGATTATATTCATGCATTTTTTGATAAGAGATACTCGGCATGCTTCAAGGATTTCATTTTCAGAACTACCCACTGTTCTGTCCTTTGTCATCCCTTCACACTCTATTTTCTCCAGTGTTGCACGCAGGTCATAGAATTTATTTTTCCAGATGCAGTTTTCTTGAAATTCCAATAGCTCCATTTCCAGGTTTCCAAAATCTAACCACACTAAGCAGGAAAGATCAAGTTCTTCAAATTTGGCTTTATCTGGACAAGTAAGAAAACACAGGATTGTCTCCATCTTGCGGAACTGTAAAAATCTGTTCCTGAAATTTTCCTTTGCAGCTGCTACAATGCTAGGAAATTCCTTGCAGATTTCCTGATGGCTTGTAGGACTGTTCGTAAATGTTGTAGAATTTTCCAAATGTATTTTTAGATTTCAGCTGCCACTTTCAAGTTTTATCTCAAATGTTCTGATGTCACAAAACATCCTTTCTGCTGTTTTCCCTAAACCTTGCAGTTTTTTGTTCAGTATATTGAAGTGTGCTGTAAAATCTGTAAAAAACATGAGGTTGGTAAGCCAGGCCATATCAGTGAGCTATGGATTCATCCTCTGCTCAGCCACCGGACATTATTGTACATAAATAAAGTATTATACTGTGCCTTGAATGTCACAGAGGAGTTCTTGAAACTGCCGTACATTAAGAGCACAAGCCATGATTTAATTCACCATTTTTGTGCCATCTCTGAGGATATCGCCTAATTTTTTGCTGCTTTCTCTGGCACAAAGAGCTTCTTGATGTATAATACAATGAAACTGAATGATCGGATGTTTAGCTTCTTTAAGAAAGAATTGTATGAAACCAGATGTTGCCCCCCACCATGCAAGGTGCCCTGTCACTAGTAACTGAAACTACTTCTGCTCTTACATCTTGTGACCAAAAAAAGCCTCCATCACAGCATTGCAGATATCTCTCCCTTGTGTTCTTCCAGGCAAAGACAATAGTTTCACCAGCTCTTCTCTCATGATATTATCAACAGTATAATGCAAAATTACTGCTAGCCTTGCATGATTATTTATATCTGTGCTTTCATCCAAGCACATAGCGTAACAGGCTGCCTGTTGTAAATCAGTGGTGAGTTGCTGATTAACATCACTTGCCATACACAGGACTCGATCATTAACAGTATTTATGCTAAATGGCATCTCAGAGATGTGTTGCATAACTTTATCCTTGTTTGGGAAATCATGAAAAAGATAATCCCACACTTCAAGTTACTTCCGGTCAACATGGCCCTTTTGATAAAATCCCCATCGGAGAAGGGCTTACCCAGAAAGACTGGGATTCAGATTTTGGGAATAAACTCTGAAACTCTTGCCTGCTTTGGGGATGAGAAACAGAGAAACGTGATTGCTACACACTTCAGACTTCTACTGTGCTCAGCAGAAACTGCAGAGCTAAATGCAGTGGAGATTAACTTTGGAAGGTTCCTTTTTTCATGGTTTTATGAAATAGTCAAGTCTGTGTGCGTGTGTGTGTGTGTGTGTGCCACACACACACACACACAAATCCTTCTTCCCTCAATCTTCAACAATCAGTTGCTTCGGTTCACTATGTCCATTTCTTCTCATTCCACTTAAACAAGCTTGATGAATCCACCCATCCCTCTCTCGCTCCTTCCTTCCTGCCTTTTGGAGACTTCTGTTCTGCTTGCATCGGTTCCTTTTTTATAGTTTTGAGTCAGTCTCTCTCTCATACACACACACACACTTGCTCCCTCAATTTTTTCTACAAAGTCAGTCTCTCTCTCATACACACACACACCCTTGCTCCCTCAGTTTTTTCTACAATCTTACATTTAAACAAGTTTGATGAATCCACCCGTCCCTCTCTCGTACTTTCCTTCCCGCCTTAATTGGAGCCTTCCGTCCTGCTTGCATCAGTTCCTTTTTTCATAGTTTTGAGCCTCTCTGTCTCTCTCTCTATCTCTCACACACAAAATTTCCTACAATCTTACATTTAAACAAACTTGATGAATCCACCCATCCCTCTCTTGCAACACCTTCCCACCTTAATTGGAGCCTTCCCTCCTGCTTGCAATCACCTCCAGCGGAAGTAGTAATTCACAAGCCAGATTGACTGCCCCGGGCTGTTCTAGAGCAGTAAACAATAAAGCAGCCTGATCTCCAATCTCTAAAAGAACTGATTTACAAGTGCCGCAACTAAGGAAGGTAGCAGGCATAGGGGCTTACAATCGTGCAGTTTGAGGTTCAGCTGCAGGGGTTGGGGATGGGGGTAGGGCTCTGGTGACTTTTGGCTCACAAGCCCATGGAGAGGTCTCCACGTGCCAGCTGTGGCCTGTGTGCCATAGGTTCGCCATCACTGTTCTAGATAAACAAGACACTGGCCTGTGTGCCATAGGTTCGCCATCACTATTCTAGATAAACAAGACATGCTGGTGGTATTTATAATGCATTTTCCTCCTCTTTTTTGCCACAGGATGGATGTCCACTTGCCACAGCCAATTCTACACATAAACACAAACATGCACAAAGTTAGCTAACACAATTTTCCTCCTTCCCTGCCTTGCTTCTTTTACCTATTGATTCCCTGACTTCTCAAATCCAGGATCAAACATTCAGGAGAAAGAAGGAAGAGGAATTAATATGTAAACTAGCAAGTAAGTATGTCTTTTCTTGCAAGAAAAAGCACCACCCTGCCTGAAAAAATAATATGAGGACATGAACTTGTCCTAGAAAGCTCATATTAAATACATGTTTTATTCTTTTTAAAATATTTCTTTTGTTTTTGGATGTTATGCTACCACAGACTAACATGGCTACCTCTTTCAAAAATATTTTTGTTTTAAGTCAAAGTAAATTGCAGGCTCCAGCGACAGTCCTTTCTATATTCTATATAAAGCTTACAAGGGTGCGAACACATATGAAAACCTGATCAAGACAATGTAATCTATTACAACTGAACCCACCATTTAAAGTTTCAGACTATTACATTGATCATAACCTTTGCTATAGAAAAAAACCTTTAACAGTCTAAAGTTGCTGTTGCTGTTGCTCGCCATCAAGTCACCTCTGATGTATGGAAACTAAGGGTACAAAAAATAAAAAAATCTGAACAGTAATTCTGGAAAAGACATCATAATTCGCATGTCGGAGGGATTCCATAATAAGATCACCAAATCCCACCTCCCATCCATTACTCTTTTCCCTTACCTTCAAGCAATGCATGTAGAAGTGCCTTCATCTCTGGTCATATTTAGTTTTAAAATATTGGCATGATAAACATTTGGCTTAAGTCTGGCACTAAGTGGGTTTTTTTGGGGGGGGGTTTCATCTTTTGTTTTTTATAAGTGATTATCAGTTTGAAATTGTGGGGAAAGCAAGAACTGGTGGATTTCCCCCCCTTTTCCTGCCGTGGGAATACATGTATCAAACTAGATGATATAGTTAGCATTTTATTAGAGGAAACACTTCCTTAAAAGGAAAAAAGACTTATCTTCATTCTGAGTTTACCTCACCTTTCATGTTACAAAATGGCTTGATTTCATGATTGGTTACTGAGAAGTAATCAATGGCTTCATTTGCTAGTCTAATTGTTCAAGGAGCTTTAAAGGAAATATAGGCCTGAAAGGGATGGATGGAATTATAGTAGTAAGAATTAGTCATTTCCCTTAATGGGTGATTCAATCTTCAGTCTCTTCTACAAATTCAAGAAGCATTTCCATTCATGGAAAGGGACTTGTTGGATCTAAATGTAAGTAAATAGCTTGCAAAAATAAAGCCACTGAGAGACATGGTAATGATAGAATAGTTTAGGATTCCAAGAGACACGAAAGTCGTAGAACTGCACCAAGTCCCCAAAGATGTATAAAATGAAGGTTCTTTGTTTGAATCCTTGACACCTCAAGGTAGAAGGAGCCACACAGCATTGTTTTTACGCTGGCTTCATATAGCCTTACTGGGTATGGTGAGGTAAAGGAAGTTTGACCTGCCCAGATATTTTACAGCTTCCATCAGTCTCGTTTAGTGTAGTAGCAGTATCCCCACACTTAAAGGGTCTTTGGGCTCTGGAATAGAATACCACTTGAGAGGCTGCATTTGATGTGACACTTTCTTCCACTGCTGCAGCAGAGAAAATTGTGAGGTGTAGAAGCTTTGCTGTCATTAGAGAAGTCAGTTCACAATCTTCTAAAGCCACAGTGAGAAAATGGGCTCCAAAATGAATGGTCTGTGATCACTAAAGTGAGGAATTTATTTAGTTTGAGTTTGACCCCTAACTGAGTACTGATACCATTGTGCAAAGGTCGAAAGTAAACTACAAATCAATTGCTTCACTTTTTGCTCCGACTGCCTTTGGTAATCCCTGTTTGTTCTGCTTAATAGTTAATAACAAATATTGGGTACAAGTCTGGTATATAAATTACAGATCAAAGAGGATCATAGATGACTAGAGTGACATAGGAAGATTTTGGAAACCTGTAAGTATGGAGGGTGGGTTTCTCTTGCTCTGACAATACCATCTATATGTATCTGCTCAGCATTTAGTCCCATTAGTCTGAGTGAGGCTTACTTCCAGGTAAGTGGTTTTATGACTGCAGCCTTACCCTACTGTTAATAAAACTTTTTGCACAATACTCAGCATTTATTCATTCCCTTTTGTGGGTTAACCCCTCCCATTACTAAAATAGCTTCTGTTAGGAGAATAGGGAAGTGAGACTGCCCCACCCCCCTCCCCAGTCTCAGAATTGGCCCTGGTGGTTGGTGGATCCTGTGGAGCATGTCTGCGAGGGTACAAAGGGATTTTCTGTGGTGGCCTAGGGGAGAATAAGAGGAAATCCTTCTAGTGAGAATGTATATTTCCTCGCACATTGTTGGATTTCACCCTAAATCAATCTAATGTTTCGATAAATCAAATTGATCAAATGCATTGAATGAAGCCTCCTATCAAACAAATATTGTTTCAATGTCTAGTTTTGGTTATTGAAAAGACAGTAATAGTAATCGCGAAATATTGAAAAGAACAATTGTGAATACAGTCTTACACTCAGTATGCAATTCAGTTTCACTAACTTTTAACATTCGTTTTTATGCTACTCACAGGAAAAGTGAATTATTTATGTTGTGTAAATGTATAGATCTAGGCACAGTCCACCATTATTGCAGAATTCCTATGTATTTCTGGATTGATCCTCTAATGTCTTCTATGGGGACTATTAGCAGAAGACTTTCAAAGCCCAATGAAGTCCATCATCCACCTCTCCTTGTTACTGATTAGTCTTCAAGTCCGTTGTCATCACCTCCCAGGACGCCATGATTATAAAGATGATCATGAAGCCGACATTTCCCCTGAATATCAACATTTGCTTTCGGCAGAAGAACAAGGAGAGAAGTCCACGCGTTATCGTAAGATAATTCCCAGTAATGGTGACTTTGCGTTCAACTTCTACAGAAATATTGCTGCAGATGCAACAGGCAAAAATATATTTTTCTCTCCGCTCAGCATCTCCACAGCTTTTTCATTGTTGGCGTTAGGTGCCAAATCTGTAACCCATGATGAGATTTACAGAGGACTTGCTTTCAACCTATTGGAAATGAATGAGAAGGAGATACATGAAGGATTCTGCCAGCTCATCCGTGTGCTTAACCAACCAGATAACAAAGCACAGGTGAACACAGGCAATGCCTTGTTCATAGAAAAGTCTTTGAAATTCCTGCCTGCGTTTGTGGAGGATGCTCAAGCCTTGTATGAAGCTAACGTCTTCCCTACCGACTTCAACGTCTCCAGGGTGGCCAAAAAACAGATCAATGACTATGTGCAGAACAAAACTCATGGGAAAATAGCCTATGCTCTTGAGGAACTTGACCCATGCACTGTCATGGTTCTTGTGAACTACATCTTCTTCAAAGGTAAGTTGAAGGGCTCATATTTATGCCTCAGCCACCGTTCTGGGATGTGAGCATCACAGTGTTGTTCAGGGAGTTTCAGGAATAAGGAAAGGACAATGGAAAATATTTCTGTCATGCCTCTCTGCCACCTTTCCTTGCAGTGCTACATAGAGAGCTTCCAGGATCCATCCTGAGTGTTTTATGCCCATATATTTGCAGTTCTACAGCCTGAGTAAGAAGCAAATGAGAATAGGTTTCCTTTTTCATTACTATCTTGTGAAGATTGCACAGGGAGTTCTTAAAACCCATATTATGCAGGCTATAAACCTATTTTCCCCATATAGGATATTTATTAGGGACAAAAAAAAGCCTTCAGAGAACTCTGCAATCAGGAGTATTTATATGATTCCAGGGTGAATACATGGTCCAGCAAAGATCTGCTGGTCACTCACTCATAGGATGGAGCAGCACTCTCACAGATCCTTCACATTCTACTTGGCATTCATGGGTTTTAAAAGTTTTTCACCAGCAATTGACATTGAAGAAACATATCTCAGGTTTTCCCCACAACACTCTAACCACTGAAGTACTAGGGAGGGCTCAGACTGAGATCGCGGCATGGTGTAGATATTGCGGCCAGCCATGTTTTATAAGTGTGAAGGGCAGGACTTGCATAATGTTCACTAGGTAGGATTTGTATTCTACATTTTCTTTTTTTCTTTCTTTCTTAAGAAAGAATTGGTTTACTATGTCAGTTATAAATTTATTTAGAGTTATTTGGCATGAGAAAATAATAAATTTAAATTTATTTCAAACATTTCATGGAATGAAAATAATAGAAATGAATATGAAACAGCCATATTGCATTGCGCTCGTTGAACTATATTAATCTCTGTTAACACATGGGAGGAATGCTTCGATACTCAAGCCCTTGAGAGCCAGGATCCTAGGGTCCAGGCAGATGAAAGGAATAAGATGTTGAGATGTAACCGCTTGAGAACTCAGAGGCTTGACAAAATTTGTTTTGGCTACTCTGAAAATCTAAGGTTATAAATAAGATAGATTTTAGTCACAGAGAAGACACACAGATTTATTTTTAATTTTTTTTAGGAGAAGGGAATATCTGCCAGGAGGGATAAGAATAATGTTAATTAGAGATGGAGGTATTCATATACGAATATGAATATCCACACACAGGTGGAAATAACGAGGGTCCAGCCCCATGGGGACTGTCCACCCACGATTTCGCCACTGCCACCAGCTCCGTAGCCCCATTGGGCGGGACTGTCCACTCACGATTTTGCCACTGCCACCAGCTCCACGGAGGCTTCCGATCCTGCTGTTCTCCGCAATGGATTAGCCACTCTCTGACCTAGCAAAGAGGCTTGTCACCCCACCTCCTACCACTGGAGGCAACAGTGCAATAGGAAGCCTTTGCGGAGCCAGCAGCAGCGCCGAAATTGTGAATGGACAGTTATTTCCACTTGTGCGGGGATATTTGTATATGAAGACCTTCGTCTCTATGGTGTGATTATATTTAAGTGCATAAACGCTTTGCCATGCTTTTTTGCTTTTATTATATCTAAGGATATGTATTCTAATAGATTTTGAGTAACTTTCTAAAGTGACTTTTGAGACGGTATGTATTTTTCATTTACAACATTGAGAAAATATTTTTGATGGTTGTTGTGGGTTTTTAGGGCTCTTTGGCCATGTTCTGAAGGTTGTTCTTCCTGACGTTTCGCCAGTCTCTGTGGCCGCTGTTTTCAGAGGACTGGAGTAGGAACTCTGTCCTTGCTCTGTTGATGTTTGTTGGATAGTTGAGTATTTATAGCTGTGGGAACAGCTTTTGTCTTTTTTCAGGAGATAGGGTGATCAGCATGTTTTTGTTGTGACCGGGGGTGGGGGGGAGAGATTATCTGTGGCGGCCCAGGATCTGGAGCAGCAGGCTCTGGTGGTGGATCTGGAGTGGGGTCTTGAGGCATCTCCCTGCCTGGGATTCCCCCTTCCACTGCCACTTCCAATTCCACCACTGCCACTTCCAGTTCCACCGCCACCGCAGCCCACTGCCCACTGGTTTGTTTGTTTGTTTTCAGTTTGGGTACTCGGGCCCAAAAAGGTTCGCTGTCACTATGTGAGGGTAATAGTATTTTTTTAAAAATATATGTACACTTGCTGTTAGGTAGCCCAAAAAGGTTCGCTGTCACTATGTGAGGGTAATAGTATTTTTTCAAAAATATATGTACACTTGCTGTTAGGTACTGTCAAGTTAAGGGACGTGGTGGCGCTGCAGGCTAAACCGCAGAAGCCTGTGCTGCAGGGTCAGAAGACCAGCAGTCGTCAGATCGAATCCACGCGATGGAGTGAGTGCCCGTCGCTTGTCCCAGCTCCCACCAACCTAGCGGTTTGAAAGCATGCATATACAAGTAGATAAATAGGGACTACCTTGGTGTGAAGGTAACAGTGTTCTGTGTCAAAGTCGCACTGGCCATGTGGCCACGGAAGATTGTCTTCAGACAAAACGCTGGTTCTATGGCTTGGAAACAGGGATGAGCACCGCCCCCTAGAGTCGGACACGACTGGACAAAAATTGTCAAGGGGAACCTTTACTTTTACCTTACTCTCAAGTTGTTTCTATTTAATGGAAACCTATCATATACAGCCCTGCTAGCATCTCACCAATGCAAGACCATAGCTTGCTTCATTAAGCCAGTCTGTTTTATGTTGGATCTTCCTGGTTTTGTATTATTTATTTTATTTTATTTTATTTTACTTTTATCCTGTCCAACTAATAGCAAGGCAATTACTCTAGGCAGCAAACAAATCAAAATAATGGTTGTTGTGGGTTTTTCAGGCTGACAGGCCCGAAAATATAAACATATAATATATAAACATATAATAAAGCAGTAATAAAATTCAAGTGAAACAGAGTACAGAAAACATAATATCTAAAAATAAAATGATTAATACCAAAAAAAAAAGGAAATAGCAATTGTAAAAAATGTAGGGTACAAAATATAATAATAATGGGCACTAGATAAAGACAAGTTCATGAGCTGAAAAATACAACTACTCAAAACAAGATTAATCTTGAGTTAAGGAAATGAAAGGCTTGTGAAAACATCCCGGTTTTAAATTGTCTGCTAAAACCTAGAAGGGATGAGGCTAATTGCACTTCTAATGGGAAGTGTTCCAGAGCAATGCGGCCACCACAGAGGAGACCTCGTTTCAGGTGGCAGATTTCTGGGCCTCCCTTGGGGTCATCATCCATAGCATCCCAGTATAAGAGGTGTGGGTGGGATGGGTAGACGTTTTGAAGGAGAGGTTCTCATATAAGTAACAAGGTCCTAAACCATTAAGGGTTTTAAATGTCAGGCTAAGCACCTTGAACTAGGCCTGGAAGCATCCAGGCAGACTGTGCAAATGTGCCAAAACAGGTGAATTATGATCAAATTGTGATCATAGAATCATAGAAAAGTGAAACTGGAAGGGACCTACAAGGCCATCGAGTCCAACCCCCTGCTCAATGCAGGAATACCAGATACCAGCCTGTCAGGTATCATCTTGACTTTTTCTAACCTTATTGTCTTTTCCAGTGAATCTGTCCTTCTGACGATATGTACAAAATAGAATAGTCTCAATCATTTTAGCTTCTGAAATGTCAGTTTAATCATTTAGTCGCTATATCTATTAGTGACTAATTTGTTCACTTTGTCCTTGTCATCTTCAAGACTGGATCCAAAATGCATACCTTGTGGACATCTTCTAGCCCATGTTCCTTTAAAAAAAAAAACACTAGTTTTTGTACCATCTAGCTTAATAAGGAATTCTGCAGAACTTGAAAGATTGCTCCCAAAATTTGTTCACTTTGTCCTTGTCATCTTCAGACTGGATCCAAAATGCGTACCTTGTGGACATCTTCTAGACCATGTTTTATAACTTATTGTTCCTTTTTTTAAAAAAACCCACTAGTTTTTGTACCATCTAGCCTAATAAGGAATTCTGCAGAAGATTGCTCCCAGTTATGTGACATTTGATTAGTCATAATAGTGATGTGTCACAGCTATTAAATTAAGACACACACACACCCTTAACCTTTATGGTTAAATGCATAGCTACTGTGTACAACATTGCCTTTCGGATATTAAGTATTCACACTATACTGTTCCTTAATCTTTTTTTTCCCAAGCTTACTGGGAAAACCCTTTTGATACTCACCTTATCAGGGAAAGAGACTTCTTCGTAGATGCGAACACTACCGTGAAAGTCAACCTAATGCATCGAAAAGGCTACTACAAGTTTGTTCATGACGAAGATCTCTCTTCCTGGATAGTGGAGCTTCCTTACAAAGGAGATGCCACCGCCTTCTTCATTCTGCCAGATGAAGGAAAAATGGCACATGTGGAGAGTGCTTTGAGGAAAGAAAGTCTAAGCAAATGGACCAAATCTTTTTTGCATGAGTAAGCTCTTTTGCTGTACTATATTTGCAATATTATTAGGGGGTGGTGGTAGGGTTTGTTTGTTTTCTTTTAATATAGTTTTATGTGGTTTTAATATTTTGTAAGCCACTCAGAATAGTGGCATGTTCACTAAATGGGTGGTATAAATCTGAATAAATTTATTTTGTAAGCCACCCAGAATAGTGGCATGTTCACTTAATGGGTGGTATAAATCTGAATAAATTTACATGTACAGTACACATATACATATGTATACAGGTATATATATTATATGTCTGTGTATATATGTGTTTACAGTACACATATACATATGTATACAGGTGTATATATGTATATATCTGTGTATATATGTCTGTGTATGTGTGTGTGTATGTATATATACGTATGTACGCGCGCGCACACACACACAAACACACACACACACACACACACACACACACACATGATGTAAACACCGTTTTATATACAGTGGTGCCCCGCAAGACGATGTTAATTCGTTCCATGAAAATCGCTGTTTTGCAAAAACATTGTCTTGTGAAATGCGGTTCCCCATTGGAATGCACTGAAATCCATTTAATGCGTTCCAATGAGGAAAAATTGTCGTCGTTTTGTGAAAATTGCCCATAGGAAAACCGTTTTGTGAAGCGCGGATCAGCTGTCAAAATTGTTGTCTTGTGAAAAACGGTCCTGAAAACACCCATTTTGCGAGTTGCGGACCTAGCTGTCAAAATCGTTGTCTTGCGAAAAATGGTCCCCAAAAAAAAACACTGTCTTGCGAAGCATGGACCAAAACATTGTCCAGCGAAAATCACCCATAGGAAACACCGTTTGCGAAGCGCTATAGCGATCGCAAAAACTCATCGTCTAGTGAATAAACCGTTTTGCACCTAGTATGATTTTTCAGGATGCTCGTAATTTAAGCCCTACCCCAAAAATAAGCCCCAATTAAGTGAAATTCCACCCTCCACCCTTGTGCAGCAACCAGAAGATGATGATAGGATTGTATTTGAATGAATGTAGACTGTTGTGCATCGGTGTGTGTGTGTGTGGAAAACATCCCCTGAAAATAAGCCCTAATGCATTTTTGGTGCAAAAATTAATATAAAACCCTGTCTTATTTTTGAGGAAACATGGTATTGTGCAACAGAATTCAAAGCAGAACAATAACATAATCTATTGCAAGAAAGTTGTTGTTTAGTCGTTTAGTCATGTCCGACTCTTCGTGACCCCATGGACCAGAGCACGCCAGGCCCTCCTGTCTACCACTGCCTCCCGGAGTTGGGTCAAATTCATGTTGGTCGCTTCGATGACACTGTCCAGCCATCTCATCCAACTCAATAAAACAGTAGGACACCATAAAAACCAAAAGAGATAGGGAGGCAGTGGCTGACCCATTGCAGACCCATTGAATCAGTGGGGATTTGGCGAGGCAGCCTCTCTGTAAGTTCCACTGGCTTAATGGACCATTAAACTATTAGGACTGACCACACGAAGCAATGGGATTTCAGCCATTTTCTAATGTAATGGAAATAGAAAAACCTGAAATGACCCTCAGGGACAAAACTTAAAATTTCAACAAACAGATGATGTAATAGACCTTAAACACAGGAAATGCAACAATACTGTAAAAGCCTGGGAGAAAAGAAAAATTCTTGGCTGATGTAGAAAGACCAGTAACGTAGTCAGCAGGTGAACTAAAATATTCTACAACTAAGGGACTGAAACCTAAAAAATCCTGTCCCTAGTTACTGCTCTCTGAGTTTCAGACTCATGGTTACTTGCAGAATGTATAGATTCCATCATCATCATCATCATTATCATCATCATCATCATCATGATGTGCCATGAAGTCAATTCTGACTTATTGTTACTCTTTTCAAAGTTTTCCATGTAGACAATACTCAAAAGTGGGTTACCCTTCCCTTCTTCTGGAGGTGTCTTGGGATTGCAGCTTGCCCAAGGCCACATAGGCTGGCTCTACTCTCAGAATTGAGGACTCCCAGTCTCTGACTCTGTAGCCAGATACCTAACCCACTGGGCTGCCACATAGGGCACTTCCTGCGGTATCCATCTTGGAGAACATCTCTATATTTTGTATACTGCAGTAGTTTAAACTGGAGGTTAGCAGTGCATGAACTAGGGAAGCCAGATCATCCCTGTCCAAAAATGGTTGGAGCTGCCATGGCATGATCCATAGGCAATACAGTCCTTAGAATCACAAGGGGTCTTGCGATTCTAGGCCCAGGTTCTAAATTCAGAATTGGTAGCTGCTGGTTTTAAGTAGAGATGGACATGAAACAAAATATGAACCCAAAAAACCCCATGAACCTGACCAGTTCCTGTTTCATTTCGTGGGCAGTTCAGGGAACCACACTTTCACAAAGCAAGATGTGCTGGGAAGGGGGGTATCAGGAAACAGTTTATCTATAGAAGCTAAGCTGGACTAGATGGGCCTTTGGCCTGATCCAGCAGGACTCTCCTTATATTCTTAAGATGAAACACCTAATTTTTTCATTCTTGGCATTTTGTTTTGCTTCATTTCCTCTCTTCAGAAAGCCCCCTTCTTGGGCCCCAGCACCTACCTTAACGGTTCTGGGGCTCCTCCTCCTCCTCCTCTCTTCTGCTACTGCTGCTGCTGATCAGCTGAGTGGGCCTTTGGCCTGATCCAGCAGGACTCTCCTTATATTCTTAAGATGAAACACCTAATTTTTTCATTCTTGGCATTTTGTTTTGCTTCATTTCCTCTCTTCAGAAAGCCCCCTTCTTGGGCCCCAGCACCTACCTTAACGGTTCTGGGGCTCCTCCTCCTCCTCCTCTCTTCTGCTACTGCTGCTGCTGATCAGCTGAGTAGGACAGTAGACTGTCTGGAGAACTACTTTCTGCCCCAGTGCTTTAGGGCAATGGTCCCCAACCTTTTCCTAACCGCAGAATGGTTGGGGGGTGGGGTCCATGTGTGGGGTGACCCCCCCTGCTCACGGGGTGCATGGTGCACTCGCGTGGGTGAGCCAGGTACACTCACAGGTGGGGGTGGTGCACTCTCACGCATACGCGGGTGGATGTGGCACACTCACCTGTGAGTAGGGCACACTCATGCACATGCATGGGTGCAGCATGATGCACCTGTGCACACATGCAGGTGGGCGGGGCATCTGGGTGGGCGAGCCGTGTGTGCAGGAGGCGGGAAATCAGTCTCCGTGGCCTGGTCCTGCTAAGGCCACGGACCAGTGGTTGGGGACCCCTGCTTTAGGATACAGTGGTGCCTCGCTTAACGAGGATAATCAGTTCCAGTGAAATCGCTGTAGAGCGAAATCCTCGTTAAGTGGGCTGAAATACTCACCGTCCAGCGAAGATCCTCCATAGGTGTGGCCATTTTCGGTGCCTGTATAGAGAGGAAACTGTCCAAAAACACAGCGGGGAGCCATTTTACACAGTGGGTGGCCATGTTGAAGCCACTGATCAGCTGTTTTAAAAACATTGTAATGAGAAGAATCAGTTCCCAAAGCAGGGAACTGATTGCCGCGAAGCGGATTTTGCCTATTAAAACATCATTTTGCGATCGCAAAAGTAATCGCAAAACAGTCATTGTATAGCAGTTTCATCGTTTAACGAGGCAATCGTTAAGCGAGGCACCACTGCATTGTGGGAAGTGCAGGCAGTGGGTGGGAGGACCAGGGAGATGGGGGGAGCTACTTCCATGATAGGTGAGAAGAGCAGGAGGCTGGAGGCGCATAAGTGGACAGGCCGGTTCTGAGGGCCAAACCCACATTTGGTGCCCCTGGGATGTGGATATTCATATTTGTTAACAAATACGAATATCCCTATCTCTACAGGGAACCCTCAAAGCACTACAGAATACCATCCCACAATACCCTAAGCCTCCCAGAAAGCATTGAGGCAGAAACCAGGCCCCAGACAGCCTACTGTCCTGTTCAGCTGGTAAGCAGCAGCAGCGGCAGTGGCAGGGAGGAAAATGAGGGAGGTGCTGTGGCCTATGAAGGGGGTGCAGGATCGGAAAAGTCATGAAGGGGCGAGCTTTCTGTGCAGCTCAGCTACATAGAAGGTTCCCCCCCTTCATTTAGAGATAAGCCTGAACCAAATGAACCACAACCTAGTTTGTTTCATAAAAGAATTTGTGTGGTTCCTGGTTGTGGACACCAATGAATCACAAACTACCACTGTGCCAGTTTGTGTCCATTTCTAGTTTTAAGATACTGTAGCTGTTAAAGTAAACTGTGCAAGTTTCGAGGCTGGCAGAAAGCTACAGGAGGCAGTGTTCAGAGTCATTTTGACAGGATGTTTTTTCCAGGTTTCATACAATTGTCCAGGTTTCATCAATAATGCACACATCAAATTTCTTGATCCGAGCATTGACAATGATAAGTTAGTGTTGTTATTGATAACGGTAACCTGGCTACCAAGTACGGATGGCTGAGTAACAAACACATCATGTTTCTTTTAAAATACAGTATTCTGAGTTCTGCTAAAGACCAACATTTTAATATCTCAGGGATTTTTTTAAAACAGGACTATACGTCTCTTCATCCCCAAATTTTCAATTTCTGCATCATATGATGTCAAAGACTTGTTGCAAAAAATGGGCATTACTGCCGTCTTTAATGACACTGCCGATCTGTCTAGAATTACTGGAGAACTCAACTTGAAGGTTTCTAAAGTAAGTATATGAGTTGTTTCTAACAACTTCCATCCTGTTTCCCTTGGATTTAATACTTTTCATCTAGGTTTACAGGGTTTTTTAAATGGTCTGTTAATATAATGTATATTATGAACCTTCCAGAGACTGGCAACGCTAATGGGATGGCATAGTAATGGAAATACATGAATAAATATAAAAACGACCTCTGTTTGTTTCCTACCTACCGAGAACATGGTTTGGTTTGCTGAAAAATGGGGACAATTCCTGGTAGCAAATCAATTTGTTTGTGTCTTTTAACTGGACAGTCCCTGTTCTAACCTGAAATCATAACAATGTACCTGACAGAATCTAATTTTAACATTAGCAGCCGTCTCCTCCCATATTTCATTGTAAAACTTTTCTAACATGGGATCTCTGTGACTTCGAGCTTTATGTTTTTAAGATTATCCATTCCCGGCCACCCAATGCATTAAAAAAATCCCAACAAAGAAATTTTCACAGCTTCATCTGAGCTTTTACAAAAGCATTTGATTAAAACTACTTCTGTGGACCACAAGGAAACATATAACTTATGACTGAAACAGAGGCGTTATTTTGATATTGTTTTGCTTACTCCTTTGTAGTAAGCTATTGCAAATATACAACTGATTATTCTTGTTTCATTTTTCAGTCACAGAAATCTTACAGTTAAATGTGGGGCTCCACCTAGTTCTAGTCTATGACTGTTTCATATATGTTCATTCAGAAGTCTATTCCATCCTCCTTCCACACCAATCTTCTTTTTTTCTTGACAAAAACTTTCATGAACACCCACATTTAAGGATAAACATGTTTTATTTTTCACAAGATACCAAGTTCTATATGCATTATATATGATAACTGGCATTTTGGTACAGTTCAATGAACTTGCATTTGAGTCAACATGGAAAATATTTCACTGAAAGGAAGAATAAAAATATACTAGTACTTCTACTTCTATTACAGTTGTTGCTACTGCTGTTACTTTGCCTCAGACATTTGCATTAAATAAAGAAAGAATTCTTCACCATAAAGGGACTTTAGGGTGAGGGGGTGTAATCAAGTAGTGCTTTCATCTTCACCATAAAGGGACTTTAGGGTGAGGAGGTGTAATCAAGTGGTGCTTCCATGCTCTCTCTCTCTCTCTCTCTCTCTCTAATTCCCCCAACATCTATTCAGCCCTATACAGATTCAGGCTTAATGCCTAGATAGGGCTGGCATGTGGAGCATTTCCTTTGACTAATTGTAACTGGAAGAGTTTACAGAATGGAAATATTGATTATCACGAGACTGCCTTTATATTTCCTGAAGAATATTGGAGGGTGTGGCCTGTAGGCAGTCAAATGTTGTCCTTTGCCCACAGGTTATTCACAAGGCTCTACTGGATATTAATGAAAGTGGCACGGAGGCAGCAGCTGTTACCACTATAGAGTTTATGCTTCGTTCTGCTCCATCTTACCCTCTACATACCATCCGATTTGACAGACCCTTCCTGATTATGATTGTTCATCAGGAAACAAGCAGCATCCTCTTCATAGCGAAAATTGTGAACCCAAAGAAAGGATGAGGGTTAGAAGGAAAATGGCAGCTCATTTGGGTGGCTTTAAAAATGGGCTTCTTACATACTTTGCAATTTAACTCACCTCGCCCTAATAGGGCTATAACCATTTGTTTTATGGAAGAATGGGCAAGGCAATGGGAACAAAGCATTTTTATAATAAAAAAAGATTTTTAAATCTCAAATCTGTGGCTGTAATCTTGTAGATTAACTCTGTACATAATTATTTTGAGCTGAAGCATATCTTGTTTAACCTAAGGCCTATAACAATGCCAGATAATCCCTCTGGAGAGAAATTAGTGGGGCCATAACAGAAAGATTAGGCATAGTTTTCAATGTCTCTGGTTTATTTATTTCATATGGGACAACGTAGATAATATGGAATCAGAAAAATTTTGTCATAAGGAGTATAAAAGAGCAATGTGACAAGCTAATAGCTCTGCTACATGGCCGGCTCTACTATTAGGCAGGGAGACATGGACGACCTAGGCTGCGGGTTTGAGTGCCCTAGAAGGGCAGTGAGTTGTTAGCTATCTGCTTTGTTATTATTGTATGTTTAATGACAGGAACAGGGAGAGGCACTCATGCACCATAAGAACTACTGTAATCAGCTCTACATGAGACTGCCTTTGGAAAGTATTCTGCCATTTCAATGGGCCAAAAATGCCACTGCCAGATTGTTACAGGGGCTAGTAACAGGTATCAAATAATCTCCCAGTAACTCCCAGCTCCACTGGCTGCTGGTATGTTTCCAGATACAATTCAAAGTGCTGATTTTGACCTATGAAACACGGAATGACTTAGGACCAAGCTACATGAAAGACCATGTCTCCCTTTATTCGTTTGCCCAGGATTCAAAGTCATCAGAAGAGGCCTTTCTCTCAGTCCCACTAACCCGCAAGTTTATTTGATGAGGACATGAGAGATGGACCTTTTCTGTCGTGGCCCCCAAGCTATGGAACCCCTTCCCCCACTTTTCAGTCTGGCTTCCTGTTTGTCGTTTTTCCATAAGACCATTCTCTTCAAATGCAATTCTTCTCAGTAACTGGCTGGTAGGTCTTAAAAACTGGACTGCTGTTCCCCCCCAAGTTGATTTAATTTTAATACAGTGATGCCCCGCTAGAAGATGACCCCACAAAACGACGAATCTGCATGACGATGAGTTTTTGCGATCACCATTGTACTTTGCAAAACAGTGTTTCCTATGGACCATTTTCGCTGGACGATGTTTCAGTCCATGCTTCGCAAGACGGTTTTTTTTTTTCAGGAGCGATGCTTCACAAGACAACGATTTTTACAGCTGATCAGTGGCTTCGCAAAATAGCTTCCCTATGGGCGATCTTCACAAAATGACAACTATTTTCCCCATTGGAATGCATTAAACAGATTTCAATGCATTCCAAAGGGGAAATGCTTTTTGCAAGACGATGTTTTCGCTAAACAGCGATTTCAATGGAATGGATTAACATCATCTTGCAGGGCACCACTGTATTTGTTTTAAATTTGTAAGCCACTTTTGGCCCTCTTGAGAAGACAAATATATATGTAAATATATAAAATATGTGTATATATATATAAAACAAAATAACTATGCAAAAAGGGCATAATTCATTTGGGTCAACTGAAGCTTGGGATCGCTCTGAAAAAGTTACACAGCTTTAATACAGGGATTTTGCTAGTATTTTTGGGATACTGTCTGACTTGAGGCAACCATATAAAATGTAGAGAGCTGAAAAATATAGTTGGATTGGTTAGCCAAATCATTTCCAACTTTATGTGTCTTTTCTGAAGACAGTATCATCGGTAACTGTGTTATGACAAGAAATATGTGATTATTGCAAAAGTCACTTGTTGGAGCAGTGGTTCCCAACCTTGGGTCCCCAAATGTTCTTGAACTACAACTCCCCAGAAGCCTTCACTACTAGCTGACCTAGCCAGGATTTCTGGGAGTTGTAGTCCAAGAACATCTGGGGCCCCAAGGTGGGAACCACTGATTTAGGGGGATTGGGCTGGGGTTCAGCATGCTTGCCATACTGGAGGGAAGTCCCAATGCCGGGACATTGAGAAAGCCTAAGTGAACCCAGAATAAGCACAATTGTGGGAGTCTTGCATATATTTCCTTGCTACCACCAAGGAGAATGACTCTTTCTATATTGTCTCCTTCTGGGGATAAGACAATTCACAGAATAGGTAAAAAATCACAATCCTAAACTCTCTTTATCTGGAAGGAAGACTCATTGAACCAATACCTGTAGCATAACAATGATTAATGATTCCTTTTATGCTTCTGTGTCTTTGATTATACTAATGTCACAACCAAAAGATCCCTTATCTTGACAGTAGGTATCATTGCGCAAAACACAGAGACAGGCAAGCAAACTTGCAACACGCTTTGCTCTCTGCCCTTTTGATAACCCATATTTGCTCTGTTTAATGGTTAATACTGAAAGCTGGACATTTATATAAGTCTAGTGTGTCAACAACTAAAACAAGGAGTAGCACAGACCAGCAGAATAAGATTCTTTTGAAAAGAATGTAAGTATGATATATATTTTCTTTTTCTATTTTAGTTCCCTTCCCTACCTCACCTGTCCCTTCACCAACCCACTTTATTCATTCACTCAGATTTCTAGCAAACATCAGGGTTGCAATTCATGGCAATCCCAATTAGAAGGTAAACCCACTAACATGTGCAAACATGGCAAAAGCAACCAAAATAACTATTTGTTAGGCAACTTGAGTTCTTTATTCTGAATTCATCAAGATTTGTAATGCAACAAGAGCTTGCTTTCCATTCCCTGTTGCACCATTAACAAAAAAGCACCTCTCTGGAAGTTCAGAAATTTGGCAAAATGTGCTACAATATTTCAGCCAAGGATCCAGAGCAAGTAGTGAGTTTTTTTCTTTTGCTTTATGAAAAACAGGTTACTAGGCAGACATTCCTTCAAAGTCAGCTTAGAACCAGCATCTAAGAATCATCATGTCTTGGGAAATAATTGTATAATAACATTGCATTATTTTTGCAATTGCTGCAATCCTTATGAAAAATCTAAAATAGTTTGCAAACAGAACTGCTGGATAGCTCAGTGGTTTAGCCACAAGTTGGGAGTTCAATTGCAAAAATCTAAAATAGTTTGCAAACAGAACTGTTGGAGAGCTCAATGGTTTAGGTACAAGTTGGAAGTTCGATTGCACACTGTGCCTCCCTTCCAGCTCTGCAGTTCTAAGATTATTATTATTATTATTATTTAAAAAACAAACAAACAAAACATATCTGACATTTAGAATAATGCAATATTTTTTTAAATGGGGTAGGTCTTTTGTCAAAATTTCCTTATCATCTTCAGTTTAGTGAAATGTAGTGAAATAAGTATCTCATTTATTATTTAGCTAGTTTAAAGCATCTCCGTATCATCTGTGATCTACGATGTATTCATCTCATTATAATTGTTTGATGACTCATCAAATGCCAAAGTGAATAGAAAATGTTTCACACTACTCACATCCATCAAAGTGACTGATCTGTGCCAAGAAAGGGTTAGGTGTGGCCCTCTAGATACTGTTGAAATATAAATCCCATCAACTCTCATCACTGGCTATTATGGTATGGACCAATCTGTTGTTCCCCACATCTGGTGTATATTGTGTGGGTTGATAGAACAGTAGCCTACAATCCACCATTTTTGTACAAAGGTGACCTAGAAAGACCTTCGATATGGACACATCTGTGAACACCCAAAAGGAGGAGACATCTGTGATATTGGCATGTGGATACAACATAGGTGGCTTAGATGTTCATTTATAGCAGCTCTCCACCCTTTGTATCTGGCCTCTCTTTTTAAAAAAAACATTTTAATTAATTTTATAAAATGTACATGTTCAAAAAGAAAATTCAAAACACTAAATACTATAAAGCGATTATATACATAAAAAAAAAAGATCCCATCCACCAGGACCATTTGAAGATATAATCAGTTTCTTGTCCCCATTCCCCTTGCAAAATTGTATCGGTACAAATCAATATCTAGCACTTTCAACAGCATTCGCACATAAATGACTTGCCGGCTGATTGCCTTTAACTGGCGAACTGCAAATCAGAGTTTTAAATGACTATTAAGTCTCTTAGATGCCTTGCACTGTTTCTTTTTATGTAACCTCTGCATTGAATGCCATGGGATGAGAAACAGTAGCCCAATAGTTGCAGGTAAATTGGGTTAATCTGATCACCTTTGGCTGGGATGTGCAGAATACTGTCATGTAGGGAAAGAGCTGAACAGAATCACAGACCAGCAACCATGCCCATGTCCATTTCTGTGTAAGAATAAGGTTTGCTGAGAACCATAAGGGGTTTTAATGGTGGAGACTTCCATAGACTCAAAGCTATTGGAACCATGGATGAGCAACAAATTTGTGACCTGTCTCATCCTCCTATAATCAATGACCTGCCTCTCAGAGATTAGGAGTTAAGAAAGATCTCCCCAAGACTCCCTATAACTATAAGAGTAGAGTAGGGGTTGGTACCATTCTTCTCTGTGGACAGAGTCAGAATCATCTGAATAAGTTACACATCAGTCATCTGTAGGTCCTTGCCCAGGTCTTCTACATGATGCGTCCCTTTTGCAGATCTTATTGCCATGTCAAAAACATCAGTTTATTCAGTGTGATCAATTCATTCATTGTGTTCTACTTCTTAATTTCCAGTTCTGCTGTCAAGTCCAATTATTTTTTCATGAATTGCACTCTAGGGCAAAACTTAGTTGTTTATTTATTGATTGATTGATTACATTTATAGCCCGCCCCTCTAGACCATGTCTACTCAGTTTAAATGGAGTGGGAGATTTTAAACAGAAAATAAATATTTCAATCTCTGTAGAATTTTTATTTTATAACAATATTTTATTTTAATTTTTTTGTGCAGAAGCATTACAGATCCCCATGAAGTCCATTTACCTCTCCTTCTTACTTATTGTTCTTCAAGTCCATTCATATCACCACCCAAGACACCACCGTAGCCCAGATGGCAATAAAATTACATCTGAAGATCAGCAGCCATCTTTGGATGAAGAACAGGGAAACAAGTTCCCTTACTATCAAAAGATAGCATTCAACAACGCTAAGTTTGCATTTGAACTGTACAGGCTCATCGCATCCCACACAACCGACAAAAACATTTTCTTCTCTCCACTAAGCATTTCCACAGCTTTCGGGATGCTGACCTTGGGTGCCAGATCTGAAACCCAAAATCAGATTTTCCAAGGACTTGCCTTTAACCTGTCAGAGATTGAGGAAAATGAAATACACAAAGGATTCCATCAGCTCATCCATGAGCTTAGCCATTCCAGCAACAAAGCCCAGGTCCACATAGGGAATGCCTTGTTCATAGAAGAAACACTGAAAATACTTCCTAAGTTTTTGGAGGATGTCAAAAGCCTGTATGAAGCGGAAGGCTTCTCTTCCAACTTCGAGGATCTTGCCACAGCTAAGCACCAAATCAATGAGTATGTAAGGAACAAAACTCAGGGAAAAATAACTCAAGCAGTTGAGGACTTAGATCCACACACTGTGTTGATTCTTATTAACTATATCTACTTCAAAGGTAAGCAGAACAATAAGTGATAGAAATCAGAGGAAATGGGATGAATAAATGAGGGCAAGGCTACTGATGCAGGAGAGCATCTTAGTGAGATGCTGTAGAAATGGGTGTATCTGCAAAAGCTCACACTGAAATACAGTATAGCAGTAACTTTTCAAGGTGCCTCAGTATTTTTGTTTTCTATTTTTTCCCCCGTGATTTATTTTTGTCTGGATGTTGATGAGAAGTGTGGTGCTTTCAAGACTACAAAGGAAATAAACCCTATTTCAGTGTGAGCTTTTGCAGACTACAGTCCACTTCCTTTAGGCATACAGAGCACAATATCTGGGCCACATGTATTTATTTAT